TCCTCTCCCCGTACCTACGTAGCCGACTTTATGGAATCAGACCTAAAGTGTGTGAGTTTTACTGTCAGTGCTGCCTTCAATGCACAACACGATTTACCTTCATCAGCAGCTTCCATTTCACACCACCTTTTTCACTCTGGCTGCATGAAGCAAGCACTGGCCCCCAGAATAGCCTTTTAATGGGCCGGTTTGTTCCTGCTTACCTCTGTAAAGCTGCCTCTTTTTATCGACACTGTTCCTTCGCTGGAATGAGGAGAGCTAGTAAACTTAGGCAGCTGTGAGCGCAATAGAGTTTCTTTTTTTAAAGAAGTCACGCAAAGGTAGTCAGGCTCAGGAGCAAACATAAAAGAAGAAAGTAGGTCGGAAAGGTTCTCAGAGATAAAAAAGAGAGTTGATCTTTTTTTTCATGAGTGTGTGTGTGTGAGTGTGTATGCATGGCACTTCCTTTTTGCTTTAGTTGCTTCCCATCACGAAGCGTGATTGAATGTTTGAGCGATCAGCAGCCCTCTGCTTCTTAGCTTGAAGTGTTCAGAAGCACAAACTGGAAAGAGGGAGGGAAAGTTTTCTTTCCGTTCATTTCATTTCTCTAAATCTATATTTTGTGCGTGTCTTCAAACAGGGAGAATTAGTGTGTGCCTCAGTCTGCTTCCCCCCTTTCCTCACTGCGTTTATTTTTAGCCATGTTTTCACGCCCCTCCAAACAGTGGAAGAGCTGTATGCACGGAGTGAGAGAGAGAGATAAACAGGCTCTTAATTAAAAACTCTTTGTTAAGAGCAGGGCAGGGCCAGACACTGTCAAAACCTTCAAACCTTTGTACACACACAAATGCTTTTTATTATTCACAAAATAGGTCACATGTAAATGGGCAGATGTGTATGTGATGGTGAAGGAGCGAGAGCGCGTGAGAGAGAGAGAGAAACATCGGCAGATGAAGAAAGGGCGCATTTGAACGAGAGCAAACGAAAACTCAGGCAAAAGGCGAAGCTCCCTGCATACTTTCTCAGCAAGCACCATCAGTAATGAGTTGTCACTTCTTCAAATGTCACTGTTCTAACTGTCAAAAATATTTTGCATTCAGCTGTGCAGGGATTCAATTTCATGCAAAAACACATTCAGAGGTATAAAAAATGAAACCGATTTTTTTTTCTTTAATGCTTCTGTTCCCATCTTGTGTTTTTAATTTTAGGTGTTGGTGGCTTCTCTTTCCTAACCTAACAGAAGCTGCTCTATGTTGTGTGACGCCACTTTACATTAGAAGAAAAAAATTTCTGCCCTCATTTCTTGATTACAATGATTACTCTAATCCACAAGCAACAGGCCCTGCAGGGCTGACTAAAAGCGATGGGAAGCCAGATCTAAAGCACATCTAAAAAAGAAAGGAATCAAAAAAGCCCAGAGGAAACGAGCAAGCAGTGATAGAAAACTCAAACTCAAACAGTGCTGCCTCGTGGGGTACCGCTGCTCCCGTGACAGGCTTATAAATAGAGATCTTGGATAAATTCAGTGTGTTTTCTTTGTGTTCTTCCACATTGGAGGACATTACATGCACGAGTGCACATACATGGTACACAGACTATTGCTGTAGCTAGGCACAACTTTTCAAACAAACAGGCGTTTTCTTCCATGCTTTAAACATACAATCACATATGTGAAAAACTCCACACACAAAGACATACACATATACATGTTACTCCAAACATTACCAAGAATGGAGCATGATCAACAGAAAGGAATGCAGACAACCTGTTTTTTCTTTTCCTTTTTTTTTTTTCTTCTTTTTTGAGTACGCCAGTGCATCAGAGCAGGCCAGACACTTGCTGTGTCCTGAGGGAGATAGTGGACGTCGAATGCTTTTCTCTATAGCTCTGTCTCTGTTCTACACACCTCACCTATAAACAGCAATCAGAACACACTCACCCCGCTGCCCAGCCCACCAGAATCAGGTCACAGGCACAGGGAAACAAAACTAGGCCATGAAGTTGAGTCTTATTTACCCTGTTACTTTGAGGTGGAAGTGACATCTAACACAGTTGTCCCCTGGCTCAGACATCAGTGCATGTACACGGTGACAGGATAGGCCAGCATCCCAGTAAGTTCCCTATAGGGCTTAAATTAGATTCAAAGTGTCAGTTCAGTACCTTCTTAACAAGATAAAACAAACCAAATGTAAGGTGTAGTACCTTGTACATGCTTTGTATTTTGTCACTGTCATAAGGAAACAATAGAACTCTATTTTTAAATCCATTGTGTTTTTACACCATTTAAAAATGCAAAATTCTCTTAACGCTGTGTGAACATTTAATGCTGAATGCCCTAATAAAAATGATGAAAAGCAAACCTTTTCAAAACTAACAATCCCAGTGGATCACTGTGTTTAGGATTATTTTCTCATGTGTAAAAGAATGGTAACCGGGCAAGCTCACAAACTAATGACAGTATTTTGCTTGTAGGCTTGATCAGATCAACATAAAACAAAAACAAAAACATTAGCAGATATTAAACCTTTTTTAATACATGTCCTAAAAAGTTAGTTTCTGGGATGTGACGTTTTCTCAGTGATGATTTAGAGAATTTTAATGAAGTGAGACTGTGGGCTAGTATTCTTCATTTCAGTGTCAGATACAAGTTCTAAAAGCAACGTGCAAATCTTTTGAACAGACTTACTTGGGAATTAGAGCTTGTTATAGGCAAACACATAAAAAGTACAGCAAAATAAGTCATTGCTGTGTCAGAATGTTGGGGGATACTGGTGTAGATGGAGGCGACAAGGCATAGAAAAGCTGAGGCGCGGCAAAGAGCTGCCAATACCAATAAATATTTCATTGAAGGAAAAGGGGGAGAATCAGTGAAACTGCCACCCTTCAGGGGACAACAGGAAGAAAACAGCCTCTATTTTCCTGATAGGAAGTCAAGGTGCACATGTCGATTTAGGGACTGGCAGAGAGAAAAGAATAGCTTAACACCTGGCATTGGAAGTAAAGGCTCAGAGAGTGTGACTTGCTAGCTGACACTTCTCTTTTGAGATGTGTGTGCTGGAGCAGTGGGGAACAGTGTAAAAGTGTAGAAATGGAGCAAAACAGAGGTTGGTGTGGATAGTGCCAAGATATTCTGGCACAAAGGAAAAGAAAAGACTTTGAGCACCAAGCAAACACACTGCATCTTAAAAGACAGAAATATGACAAAAGAATAAAATCATAACCTAGAAATCTGTGTCCCTGTGGATTTCTGGGCAGTATTTTTGTGCAGTGGTGTCCGTTTGGGCCGTTTTAAAGCAAGTCTGCTACTTTATAACTTACAGTATCAAGTTGACATTGTGGATCCCAGAATATACTATGAATCACTTCAAATGTTCATACAACTTTACCCTCAAAAAGTCACTTGGGTTTATCCATAACTTCTTTGAGAAGAATCACAACGCCATTTTCTTCTGTTATGATTTATTCATCTCTTCTGCCTATCACAGTAAACTATCTGGGGTTACCTGTATTGGAATATTCTTATATATTTGAAATAGGACTTTCTCCTGTATTATTTATTCCTGTGCCTTCAGTGTGAACTCACTCATTTTCTCAATTTATTCAATCTCAAATAGCCACACATCACAGGTTTGGTGTTGCCATAAGCAACAGATCCATTCATGGACAGTGCTTCTAACTTCTAAGCTCACTGGCCCTCAAAGGGCTAGAGCTTTGCTGATGTTTCAGTTGGCTTTTAAGATGCAGAATGGGTATTTTCCTCATCCTGTGTTATTTAAGCAAGATAAAGATCTAAAGTGCTCTTAGTGGAGGATACGAGTGAGGTTACTCAACCCTGGTGTCCTCTGCTTTCGAGTAACTGCCTCTGCTGTCTTTATAATGGATGATAAGCAGCAGTGCTGCCTTGAGAAATAGGCCAGTGAACAGGGGCAATTCTTGGCACTTTTTTGTGTTTGGTTTACTTAAGGCTGACCTTCTCAGCTTTCTCAGTGAGGCTGGAATGGGTCAGGCCTGAGCAGAGCTGGAATTTGGGAAGAGTGCCAGGACCCAGGCTGTTTCAGGACTGATAGTGGCCCAGTAATCCACTGTCCTCTCCCTAAGATAGTGAGGTCAGAAAAACATGCAACAGTAGTCAAAGAGGATCTCCAAAATGTGAACCATAATGTTTATTTTTGATCTGGAGCCCTGCTGGAAGTCTCAGCGTGGGCCTTAGACTTAGATCATGATTCCAGGCCAGAACACAATCTCAGTACTCCCAATACTCATCACTAAAAGAATGCTGCTAATCTTAGAGCCCGTCTTCGTCTGAAGTTTGGCTTTCATGACACACAGTTAGTCCTAGCATAATGCACCTTAGTCTTGGTCTATGTCTGGAGGATTGCTCTTCTTCTCTACAGTGCTGGTGCACATGTCTATGTCTGTGTGTGTTTGTTTACTGTGATTTGTATACTGTGCTTAATGTCCGCTGGGACAGTCTGTAGATGTATCCAAACTTTGCATCATGAATGTTTTACAGCTGCAGTGCTGGCAAACACTAAGGGCAAAACGGGCGGGCTGAATATTTCATATGCCCCTGTGTTTCTGATGCCCATCAGAGGCTATGTGCTCCCTACAGTGTCAGGGGTCACCACTCTATTGTGTATTTGATCATGGTTTCATTACTTGATTTGAGTACTTCTGTAGGTTGGAACACAAAAGAAAAGAGTATATAAGAGAATCTTTAAACCGGTAGTCCTTTATCAGGATACAAGAAGTGTTCTGGTGTTCTGCAAAATTAACCAACTTAAATTGGTTCATTAATCATAGTTTCTATCTCCATGCTTTTGTGCTTAATTTAATGTAAATTGTAGCCATTTGCCTTAATGAGCCCAACGTGTCTGCTTTAAATGAATTTTTTACAGTAAAGCCAAGCCATAACTTCGTAGGGCAATAAAGGGCAGTATCTGTTTTTTTTGGGGTTTTTTTTCCTTATGCTTCCTTATCAGCCTGACCTGATGTTGTCTGTCCTGTGTCTCTCCTTGCAGGACAGTGCTGAGAATGAGGTGGACAGGAACAAATGCTGCACACTCTGCAATATGTTCTTCACATCTGCCATCGTGGCTCAGTCGCACTACCAAGGCAAAACACATGCAAAGAGAGTACGCCTGGTGCTCGGAGAGCAGCCCAGCTTAACCACCCCCACAGGTCAGATTGCTATGAACATTTTTTTGTGTTTCATCATTAACTTGTAAAAATACTGTTTGTCAGTGTGTTTGCTTTCTGTAAATTTACTGTGACCCAGTGATGTCCATATGTGCTGTTGCTGTGAAGATTTGAACTCACTTACTATGAAAAAAACATCTTAGTCATAAGGGGGCTTCTGATAGTGTGTACAGTAAAACAGTCCATAAAGTATGGGCTGTATTAGCTGTGGTCAGCACCATGATGTAACCTTGCTGGAGCGGGGCAGACAGGGTGCCTAGACGATGGAGCAGTGCACTGTAAAATATGGTGCGAGGAGGGATTGGGTGCCCAGTGGTGTGCTCTTTCACCAAGTAATGAATCAGAGTTCAGGGCTGTAAGAGCAGAGGAGGAGATTGGTTTACTGTGAGCGTAAAGCCTATGCGGCATGCAGCTCTGGTCTGGCTGAAGAGCGACTCAGACAGACAAGCTTTATTTAATGCCCTCTGGCCTGGCGCTATATGCAGCATTAACACAGCTTTACTCAAGCTCCACTCAATGCTAAAGCTTCAGACTACATGGAGACAATAGATACAGATGTAGACCACTAACACACCGTGGAAGCACACCCACTGTATCATTCCTCTGTAATGTATCTAAAGCCTCACCTTTAATGTGAATCTATTATAAGCAAGCAGCATGCTGTGAACCCTCATAACTGCTAAGAGTAAAAGCCCTATAGAATGTGCACTTGCATGGAATGCTAATGACCTAAATCATAAAATAAAGGCTTGAATTGCAGTGACACAGTTGGTGTCCTCTAAATATACTATATGTATACTGTATATTATGTTCCTTCTAAAAACCCCAAGCTAGATAATGCTCCCATGATGCTGGTGTGTGGAGCAACGTGGGCCAAGTCACATTCAGTGAAGCGTGAGTTTGCATGGGCCTAAAGCTTTCTGGCAGTCCCATTGATCCAAAGGGTTGGGGGTAATGTCTATGTCAATGTCGCACTCTATTCAGCTCACACTTCTCACGTGAGCCCAGCAGCAGATAAAGGCTAACACCACTGAGGAAGTCATGACACACAGCGCCCTTTTTACTCATTGTTTTCTTCACATCTGCCAATAGAACAGCCAGTGCCGTAAATGTCAGAGGCAGCAGTAAATGTGAATTAGTGTGAATTTATGTTGAACTTACACTTGACAAAAACGATAAATGTTCAAAGGTTTTAGACACCTGCTCACCCAGCATCTCTTCCAAAATCAAGGGTATTTAATAGTGAGTTTGTCCCCCCTTTGCTGCAGTAACAGCCTCAGTTGCTGATGTTGGATAATTAGTTCTGGAAAATAAATGCCACACCAGCTCATCCCAGAGTTATTCAGTGGTGCCCCAGCATTCTAGAGAATGCCGTTCCACTGCTCCGCAGCTCAGTGCTGTGAGCTTTATACCCCTCGAGCCAATGCTTGGCATGGGGCATGATGACCTTAGGCTTATGTGTAGCCACTACTGAGCTTCTCATTCTATTGGCAATTCTTTTCTATGATTAAACAAGCTGTGTGTGCACAACTGAACACAACTGGCAGCAATGAGTGCACCTTAAGGGGTGTTTGTATACTTTTAAATGTACAGTATGAATTGAAGAGAAATTAATAGAGAAAGGTATTCTGGTTTCTATGCCACACGGACAGGCAGATTCCTGATTAATCATGGCTTAAAGCATGTCAGCATCTGCATAACAACATCTCCATTGTCAAACTACTGTTTTATCCAGTGTCCAGCATGTGTTTTTTTCATGGCAGTTCAGCCAAATTAATAACAAATAACAAATTTATAACGAAATGCTTAAGGTAAGTCATCATGGAGTGCAGTCCGCAATGTTAAACTCTTGTGTAATCAGAAGCAGGTAGAAAGTGCTTGTGTTTGTTTTGAAACCAAAACTTGAACTGACATTGCATGGCTTTGGTATTATTGACAGTTGAAGGCTATTTAAAACTAAAGCTGTCAAAGTAAAATAGAATTTATTCCAGACACACACTTTCAGTCACCTCAGATATTGCCACTGGAAATAAGCCAGTGTTGGGGAAAGCTGTGAGTTAGAGCGGGGTTGTTATGTTAAAACTTGGCATCAATGTGGCTGGATTTGTTTCTATTTCCTCCCAGAGATCCACATTTATTATGACACAGTTTTGTTCAGTTTCCATATTTGACTATGATGTATTCCAAAGAAAGCACAGCCATGTGATAAATGTCTAGCACATGTTTTAGGCAACACTCAGGGGGTCTATCTTTAGCCTATCGATACTATTAAATTTCATTTCCTATCATCAGGCTGTAATTTCAAGCAAGCAAGACAGTGTTTCTCAGACTAGACAGGCAGAACACGCTCCATCAGCATGTACATCTGTTTCCCATTTTCTGTCCAATTTACTTTTTAAAGAGGTACTTTATGATGTGAAAATTACATTTTAAATGTAATGTAGACTCAATTTACACACAGAATTTGGTGTTTGTAACATGAGCTGTATGCAAAGATAAATATCAAATTCTGATAATGTATAAAGAGTGCTGTGCCTTTTTTTTTCCCCCCCATTAATTTAGAAGGAAAGTAGAAGGCTAGGGATTGCATGAGCGATTAAAGCAAAAGTAACCTTCATGAAAATTCAAAGTGCTCTGTACTCCAGAGAGCTGCATTAGATGAGGATTGCTGGTGACAGTTGAGGCAAAGTGTGATGGAGATACCCTTGAGAGTTACCTGGTCAGGCTCTCTTCCCCACTCTCTGCCATCTCCCCTAGACTCCCTGGCAGACTCATCTCTTGCAAATGGCCCAGTGTGCCCTACCCTGCGCTTCTAGGCCTTCTCAGTGGAAAGAAGCACTTACTCACGCACCAGTGTGCACATATCAAACAGCAGAAGAGGGAGGAAAAGAGAGAAATACAGACAAACTTTTCTTTCTCAGTTGTTAAATCTAGCTGACCTGAATTGACAGTGTATTGGAGCGTATCTACCTCGTTTCTTTCTATTTCTACACAAAAATAAACAAGTTAAAACAAAAACTAAATTCCAAATTTGTTTCTCATGAAATAAAACATTTTCCTAGCACCATGCACATACAATAATATGTCCTGCGGTGAAAGAATGATTGTTGGATTGTTGGTTTAAATTAATCTGAGCACAGTAGAATCATCTCACTCAAAACAGTGCAATGTGGGTGGTGAGAGGAGCAGAGGGAACCATAGTTACTGTAACTATGTGTTCTTGGCTTCATGTTGCTTCAGTGTGACTAACTAATCAACTAATGCATTGAACACTACCTTAGCAACCAAATACTTCAACATTCAAGTTCTCAAAGATCAAACCACTATAAGGCATGCCCACTAGATACGTCTTAAGGGATGAATAGTGGTATATTAGATGTGCACCAAAGTCATAGCTCAGTATTATATGGGTTACAATTCACTTCTACAGTTCACTTCTAAAGAATAGTGTCAGTATTTTGCTGGCCAATTCGAGACAATATATCTTCAATTATATACACCCACACACACACCTACACACTGTAGCCCACTCTGAAGACATCTATAGTTGCATGTAGCCAATCACAGGCACCATTTTTTCATGTGAAGCTGTCAAGTTGCTTCAGCACTGGTCATAAAGTTGCATTGTGTCATACTGCTGTTCTCTTCCAGGCCTTGGCAACTAAAATGCCTCTGGCACAAGATGCCTTAGCTGCAGCACATATGTAGTACCATATCAGAAACGGCATAAACGATAGATCTTTCTCTGTCCACAGCAAATCTTTGCAACCACTGCTGCGTGTCTAGCAACCTATGCTGGTCTGCGCTTACAGAGTATTCTTGATTCTTTTCTGTATTTTGTAATGAAGGTTGTCTGCTCCTCTGCTGCTTTTAAAAGTACGTGTAAATTAAAATGGCTTTAATTCTGTGCTGAAACAACGTTTCTGTTGCCTTGAAAGATGGATGAACTTGCAATGGTGTCAAGGCCTGTAGGCTATTTGGGGGTGGTAACCATGGTAACAGGTCTGTAGTGCCATGGAGCATGGGATACCTGGAGGTTTTCCATTCTTGCACTTCTGTTTCAAAACAAAGAAGCATTCCCCAACTTCATAGCAAAGATGTGTCCCAGGAGAGGCATTCACCTTTTAATGTATGCATTATTTCAAAAAGCTCATAAAACTGATTAGTATTCATAGTTGTAATACTGACTGTGCTGTATAATGTAATATTATATTATAATTCAGGGCAAGCTATATTTACACTCACAGAGTTTTACTGTGCTCTCTATCTCAGACTCAACCCCAACAACCCCTCAGCCCACAGATCCTCCCGTGCCACCTCCACCCTCATGGCCCCCAATGGGCAACAATGGGGAAGCAGGCAAATACTGTTGCCTATGTGGCGCCTGGTTCAACAACCCCTTGATGGCACAGCAGCACTATGAGGGCAAGAAGCACAAGAGGAATGCAGCACGGGCACGGCTACTGGAGCAGCTGGCGGGTAGTCTGGATGCCACTGAGAGCACGGGTGAGTGTAAAGTCTGAAGGCCAGCAGGAGGTAGGAAAATGGGAAATAAGGAGCAGGTGGTTACTGTATAGGCATGGTAAAACATTAACAAAAAAGTCACCATGACCAAAGAAATATCATTCTTAGTTACAACCCCATACAACCCCATTTCCAAAAAAGTTGGGATGCTGTGTAGAATGTAAATAAAAATAGAACCATATGTGAACCATATTGTAAATAAAAATAGAACCATATGTGAACCATATTGTTCATGTGAACCATATTGTTAAAGGAAAATACTACAAAGACAACATATCAAATGTTGAAACTGAGAAATTATATTATTTTTTGAAAAATATATGCCCATTTTGAATTTGAAGCCGACAACACGTTCCAAAAAGTTGGGACGGGGGCATGTTTATCACTGTGTTTCATCACCTCTTCTTTTAACAACACTAAGCGTTTGGGAACTGAGGAGACCAGTTGCTGTAGTTTTGAAGGTAAAATGTTTTCCCATTCTTGTTTGATATAGAATTTCAGCTTCTCAACAGTTCTGGATCTCTTTTATTGTATTTTTCATTTCATAATGCGCCAAATGTTAACAGGTCTGGACTGCAGTCAGGCCAGTTTAGCATCCGGCCTCTTTTAATACGGAGCGATTCTGTTGTAATACATGCAGAATGTGGTTTGGCATCGTCTTGCTGAAACAAGCAAGGCCTTCCCTGAAAAAAGACGTCATCTGGATGGCAGCATATGTTGCCAAAACCTGTATATATATGGTTCAGCATCAATGATGCCTTCACAGATGTGCACGTCACCCATGCCATGTGCACTAATGCACCCCTGTACCATCATGAATGCTGGCTTTTGAACTGCGCACTGACAGCAAGCTTCTTTTTGGAAGTCCATGATTTCCAAAAAGAATTTCACATGTTGATTTGTTGGACCACAGCACACTTTTCCACTTCCCCTCAGTCCATTTTAAATGAGCTTGGGCCCAGAGAAGGTGGCGGCGTTTCTGGATCCTGTTTATATATGGTTTCTTCTTTGCGTTTTAGAGTTTTAACTTGCATTTGTGGATGTAGCAACAAACTGTTTTCACAGACACTGGTTTTCCAGAAGTGTTTCTGAGCCCATGCAATGATTTCCACTACAGAATCATGTTTTTAATGCAGTGCTGCCTGAGGGCCCACTGAACATGGCCAGCAAATACTGGTTTTTGGCCTTGTCCCTTATATACAGAGATTTCTCCAGATTCTCTGTATCTTTTAATGTTATTTTGTACCGTAGATGATGGAAAGCAAAAGTTCTTTGCTATTTTATGTTGAGAAACGTTATTCTTGAATTGTTGCACTATTTGATCGTGTACAGAGTGGTGAACCCCTCATCTTTACTTCTTTACTTCTGAAAGACTCAGCCTCTCTGGGATGCTTTTTTTATACCCATATCGTTTTACTGACCTGTTGTCAATCAACCACCAGGTGTTTTTTTAGCATTACACAACTTTACCAACCTGTCTTTGGCCCCGTCCCAACCTTTTTTGGAATGTGTTGTTGGCATCAAATTTTAAATGGGCATATATTTTTCAAAAAACAATACAATTTCTCACTTTCGACATTGGATATGTTGTCTCTTTACTATTTTCATGTCTTAAGACAAGTCTTATTTTAACAAAGGTGAAGAAATACTAGAAGAATATATGGTCTTACACAGCAGTTAATTTTGTCCAAAAGTGTAAGGGAGTCCTTTATGTTTTACCTATTGCTGACACAGGCATTCAGTTCTGCACAGCTTGCTTAAAGCAAAACTATGGAGGATTTGTGGCTTTGGAGACCTCTTTGGTGGAAATATGCAATTGCATGCAACGTGTGAAAGAACATTTTGTAACGTTGGTTGTGCTTCAGACCCCCACAAGTGGATGAATCTGACTTTTGCGAGTGTCTTAGCTCCTCCCTCTGAGTATGCAAGGAAGAGATGCAAGGATGCAAGGACAGAGGAATCAACCCCAAACTGGTTTGAGAAATAAGACGTCCTTCACTCAGTCGTCACTTTCATCACCTGTTACTGAGCTTAAAAGATCTGCCTATTATAAACACTTCTATATATTGATATATATTGTATTATCAACTCACTTTTTTTACATCATGCTTTGCTGAAATTCAGATACATCAAGAATTTAATTCATTTTCATAAAACTTTCCCAGTACCAGCCATTAACTGAATTATCCAATAAAAACAAAAAGGAAAGGCAGAGAAAACTGTACTACAGACATACGTCATGTGCTACCAAAAAAATAAGACTTCTATGTAGGATGCACGTGTTTTGTCGCTCTGGAAGCCTCCTTTCTCTTTGATTCCTCTGAGCACATTTAATGAATTGATACTTCTTAAAGATGGTGGATTTCATTTGATTTCAGTGCCACTTACCTGAAAGCTGAAAGAAAGAGGAATCGAGGACCATCAATTAGTTTTGAGATCCACCCTCTGTGTCTGCTAGAGGGGCATAAATCTCACCAGCAGTTGGCGGTGAAGCAGTGCAACCCTGAAGTGATGGAGCACCATTGAACAGGTTTAGGATGATCCAGAACTAATCATCCAGCATGATTACCTTGCTAACCTGACGTAACTAATGCTCCTGTGGCTGAGCGCAAACAAATCCACACAGTCCTTCCCAGAAGAGTAGAGGCTGTTACAGCAGTAGAATGTGGCACAAATTGCCTATTAATACCCTTGAATTCAGAAGGAACAGCGGGTGAGCAGGTGTCTACAAACCATTGGACATACAGCATACCAAGCACATCACAAGGTGACTTCATCATGTGTTGGCTCTGCCAAAAGAGTAGGCTTGATTTTTTCTTAAATTCACCTTAAATGACTGGAAAGACTCCAAGTTTACTCATGTAAACTAAGCCTCAGCCTCATCTGCATCAGCATGCTGGGTTCTTAGCACCCAGCAGGACACAGATGCTTGCAGGACAGCTGTCAGTAGGGCATTGTCTAAAGACGGCTCATGAGGGATCAGCAGGTTCATGCTGATACTCAGTTACCAAGGACAGAAACACAGCAAGCCATAAAAGAGTCATAGAAAGTCATAAAAGAGGTGCGAGCCAAGAAATCATACTTCAGCTTTTTTTTTTTCTTTTTTCAGTCATTCACTCTCCTTCCACAATCAAACTTGTGAATTCCAACCTAAAGAGGATATAAATTAGTTGGATTTGCAGCGCACACACTTTTTTTTGTCCTTGCAGAAATTACAGCTGTTCTGTGTCTTGCGATCATCACAAATGCTTCTTAAAGTCTCTGCCTAAAATTTAGTGACAGCAACAGTATAAAAGCTTATCACTTGTAACCAAAACAACATCTTCATATTATTGAAACAAAGCAACCAAGCCAAAGGAAGGTCTTGTTAAGATTATATCCCTGTCACCTTCTATTTTAATCTCACCAGAAATATTTGCTGTTGATTACAACACCCTGCAAAAGGAGATGCACATGTCTCGCACCTCTAAACTGGTGAAGTTAGAACAGCTAAATTCACATCACATTTTCATCTCTACACTGAGAGAAGTCCACGAAGATCCACCTTCACTTCATATTGCTAAACCTTCACTCTCCTGAGCATCACTGGCCCAAAACCTTGTTACCTCTGTTTCTACTGCTGTGTAAAAAGCTGGCTCCATGGGACAGCCAGCGTTTCCTGTGAGCTGTTCATTTGGGATCCATTTGCTCATTCTTAGGACCTCCCACTTGTTCAGAGCATCAGTGAAGTGACGGCTTGGAGATTGCAACCCACAACCTAGCCTGTTTATGTGGAAACTACTTTGGTGTAATGGCCTTCCGGCTGAGGGTTTATTTTGACATTGAGGAAATGGGAACAAAGGATGCCTCATCCCCCCCCTTTCCCATGTTTCTGGCAGGTATTAATTTTCCCCTAATAAACAAAAGAAAAAGAATAAAGAGAACCTTAGGGGCAAATGTTCATTCTACAGAGAGGGGATTTCAAAGTGCAGCGATTTACTGTGTTTAAAATTGCAAGAGAATTGGACTTCCTTTGAATCTGTAAAATGCCAGGACAAGGTCTGTGAGCCAGAGATGCAATCTCCTTCAGTCAAAACCGAGAAAAATAAAATTCTCTATACAGACATATAGTAGTTCTAATTGAAAAAAATACTAACAAATAAATAAAGCAAATTAAATTAATGTTTTATTGCTTCTTTAACTGTTATTCAGATATATTCATTGTGTGGTGACATAAAGCTAGACTTTGATGCATTATAAAACCCGTATACTTTAATGTTGGAAAGTCCTTACTTATTACATCTCCTGTGTTATAAATCAAATGTAGAATCATCTTTTAAAGAACGCTATGTGTCTTTGCTTCTGTGAGCTGGCTTGCTTTCCTCCGGCTCTATGACCTCTACCTCACACAAGGCCTGGATGACTTATTACAGTAAAGAGGTGTAAAACGGAATGAACAAGCCTTCCCTCTCCACACTGTACATCACCACTCTGACAAATGAGAGTCATCTTGGACGACTGTACACAACTGTGTGCCAAATGACAGCCCACATACTTTTGTGTACATATATAGACAACACACACCGAAGTATATACAATACTGTGCAAATGTCAGAGACCACCTTTTAATTATTTAATTTATAGCCAAAAAGGCCTATAGGAGATATTTCTGAGGAAATTAGATATAAGAAGCCCACCTGCAAAAGGAACGGGAAAGTCAAAGAAAACAAATGGAAGAACAGGAGCTTCAAAAACTGGAGTTTCAAAAGATGTTGAAATATGGAGTAAATAGGACTCTATAGGATAAAATCAAGCCCCACTACTTCTGATCCGAAAAAAATCCACAGATGTTGTTTAGGACTTTTTTGTAAATGTCTGTTGAATGTGTTGTGCTATTTTACTGATGCTAAAAAATTAATAACTTTCATTTAATAGACATTTTGACAGGAAATTAAATAAATAAAGGATTGTCTCTGACTTTTGCACAGCACTGTAGTTCATCATTGTTCTTCATTAGGAGCTTTCTAATCGTAAGCCCCAGATAAAGGAAATATATATATATATATATATATATATATATATATAATTTCACTGTGGTGTATTTTTTCTCTTTGAAATATTCAGCTGAGTTTTTGTGCCTTACCACAGTGCACAGAACATTAATGTCATAGCCATATCAAATTAGTTTGCCAAAATATTGTGCCATAGTCACATCTTTTATAGCTTGTGGGTATGACTTAATGTTTTATGGTCTTGACTTGCCTTGCCACAACATTTGTGTTGAAGAATGGGGCTTTCAGAATGGAGCTCCTACCTGAGTACATCTGAAGCAATTTATAGTGGTCTTTCAGTGTTCTGCTAATCTTAAATGAACGCATCCAGAATAGACGAAATGCCACGGCCAAGCAATCACCTATTCCTGTATTCTATCCTTAACTGTCCATTCAACCAAGAAAGGCTAAGATTGCAGGGGAATTTTTGGAATGCTCTTTCTGCTTAGTAGCAGTTATCAGAGGAAAAGAATTAGATTGATGGTCTGCTGTCTGAAAATAAGAGTGACCTACAGCCAGGACTAAATAGCAAACTTTCATCTGCCACCTACAAACATTCATCAGCCTGGGTCTTCTCTCCCTCTCTCTCTCTCTGGTTCCTTGCGATATTTCAGGCTGTTTAATTAACAAGGATTATAAGCTGCCATGGTGTCATGCTAGACTGGTTTATTAGCATCACACTGTGAGGTCATCAGGGGTCCACAACGTAGCAAACATTCATCAAAGAGAGCTTATTAACAGAAATAAACACTCAGTGTTAATGGAGAGGTCTGAGAACCATGCCTCAATCTCACCAGCAATATTTAAAAGGCTAATTCTGGGACTCTTCCGTCTTATCATTAGTGCACTGACTGTAATGCCTATTTCTGGGCTTCAGTTTTTAGTGTAAAGGGCTAAACAGACACTCTTCAGACCCAGAACAAAAGCAGTGTCAGTAAGGGAGTTGCTATCAGTATGTTCTCACAGCAAGTTCTTTGGGCAGACCTATGGCCAGTAACTTTTACACTTGTGCAATTTGCTATGCTTGTCATTTCAGTGATATGTCTCCTCTAAATCTGAAGAGCCGTAAGGATGTGTTTGGGGATTCGTTATGATGGTATCGCCTTATGCTTGGTGTGCTGACACCCCACATTGTCTGAAAGCATGCATAACTTAATTCCCGACTAATCCTAAATGACTCTAAGTGACTCATAAATACTATATCAAACCGGTATTTTATCCTATAAAAATAACTATAGGATTTAAAAAAGGAGATTTTACATTTTACATTGTAATAGGTATTAAACCCCAACTGAGTTCAGGGCACATAAAACTGATTTATTGGGACTGTAGGTGTTAACACTGGGAAGTTTGCTTCTTTTAGTTTTGCACTGGAGCCACACAGCTAACGTAGTTAAAGCGTAATGGAAACATGTAATCAACAATTAACATGATGCAAACTGCATACCTGCATTATCACTTGCCTCAAACAACATCAAGTAACATCAAAAAGACGTGCTTATGTGCTTAGACCCTTTGACGTACTATCATTTTATCGCCAGTGCAAAATTAACAAGCTTCGGACACCAAACATGTCTTTGCTGATCAACTATATTTGGGGTAAGAGAGAAACAGTGTTGATTTGTTTTTTGTTTTTTTTGTTTTTTTTTCTGCTAAACTATCACTTAAGGCTTGTAGAGAATTTTCAACTTCAGTCAATTACATCATTGTCAGAAATAACTCTGCAGATGTCTTATAGAAATGAATCCACTACACAGACCACGTGGTTTCTCCATATGTGATGACTATTGCTACACCTCCTCAGCTCGCTCTCTCTCTCTTGTTCTTCTCATCCATCCATCTATTTTTGGGCCACTGCTGTTCTGTACCACCTGCAAACCCCTTAATTAGCACACATCTGTTTTGCTCCCATTGCAGGGCTGTGCACGTGGCTTCTCTCCATTCTGCTACACCAGCCAATCCATTTTCCCTCAAATCAAAAGGTCACTGGGACAAAAGAAATCTTCAACTGCTAATGCACACTTGAAATTTTCAGAGATTGAAAAGAGACATTTAATAGGAATTGATTAGCAAGGGCTTGATAATGACTTCACTGATTTTCTCATTTGATAGACTAACAATAAACTTTTCAAGCAATGATTTGTTACAAGAAATAGGGAAGAAGAACAAGCCGTAAATATAGATTGATTTTCTTATTGTAAATTGGGCAATACAGTAGTCGAGAAAGTGACTGTTACATGAAATGGGGTACAAGAATAGGCATTGAATATAAATCTAGTTTCATAAATCTTCTCAGTTAATATTTATGTAAAAAGTAAATACAACTGTCTAACACCTTGTTGCCACCACCATACTGTTCAACCTCATAACTAACAGTGTATTTTTCTGTATATATATTTATTGCAGGCCTGCGCAGTAGTTACTCATGCAACATGTGCAACGTGGTGCTGAACTCCATTGAGCAGTATCATGCACATCTCCAGGGCTCCAAGCACCAAAACAAGTGAGTTAACTTCACTTATTCCTTCTTTTAAGTCTCTGAGCTGATGTGATTGAACTTTCTTTACCCTCTCTTTTCAGTCTTAGTGAACTCAATGTATTCCTTTTATCTCTGTGTGATTCTCATGTGCTTATTCTTTTTTGAATCACAGTAAATCCTCTGTGTATTTTTTTAAATCTTTGTTTGATTGTGTGAATCTGATTGGGTGACACTGTTATGAAGGAAGCCTTCTGGCTCACGTACCTCTGTTGTGTTAAATGAAAGCCAGAACATTTGTATCAACAACACTAACAACAACTCATTAAAGACACATTGTACCGAAACAATACAACTCATTAAAGACACAAACAAACTAAAGAGGCCACATTTACAGAAAACAAGCTGCCGCTCTCTGAATTAGCCCTCAGTAAGAAACTTTTACATAGGAGCAGTAAGCAGAAGACTGTGGGAAGCACAGCTTTAGACCAAGGATATTGTACTGAAAACAATAACAACTAATTATAGACACATTGTAAACAAAACAATGAGAACAACTCATTAAAGACAGCAGTATATGTAGCACAAATTAGAGGACTGCCATTGATTCAAATCTTGTCTAAATTCTGTGGTTTCCTCTGAATTATAAACAGATCATTTGCCATTTTGTTTTCTATTTTGTGTTGTGTAGAGGAGGCTGTGATGGGTAAACATTGCCACCTGGGAGTACGTGGAAACGATTAAAGTTGCTGCTTATTTTCCTCTGCCGCAGCCTGCATGTGACATACTGCTGTGATCAGATGAGCTAGTATTCAAATTCCCTCCCTCACTGGCTACAGACAGAATACACCATTCCATTGTGATTTTGCAAAGGGATGAAGAGAAACATCTAGAAAAAACAGAGAAAAAAGGAATGAGATTGAACACAAAAGCATGAGAGAAAGAGAGACAGAGAGAGGGAGGAAGAGAAAAAGACAGAGACAGAAAGAGGAGAACCCCTGTTGTGCGACTCCCAAAGGCATGCTCAGTTGACAGAGATAGACTCTGCTTCATAAGTCAGGCAGTCGAAGACTTAATGCAAGCCACACTGTGTTTTTCGGTCTCCTTTTTAAGCCAGAGTGCTTTTATGGTACACAGCTGTCCTATTTCTAAGCACTACGTGAGTAGAATGTAACCACTAAATCACTAACAGTGCCCCCTAATTGCTCTTCACAATCAACCAATTGATTAACATGCCAACAGTGCCAGAGGTGGGGGAGTGAGAGGAGGACACAAGCTGAAAGCCAAATCACCACTGTCTCTTAGCTCCCACTACTCATTCACGTTAATTACAGCTACATCCTCTCTAATGAAAAATCACTAAAGACACAGAAGTGTATTGGTGAAAGTGCACAGTTAACTATCTTGTCATTCCAACAGGTCTGTGTGCATTCCAATCAGACAAAGACAGTGTATTTCGTGCTAAGGCCTGTTTTGCATCAAAGCAGAAAGAATGGAGAGTTACTTGTTTATGGAGGCTTTTTTCTTGAACACCTCCACAGTGAAGTCAGAGCGCAGTGTGAGATTGTTCAGTAGGAGGAAGAGTCCTTAGATCTTTGCCCAGATACAAGCAGCCATCTGCTAGCCCATATTAACCTGCTCTGATCATAATTGATATCATAATTGATCATAGTGCTTCAACTGAAGCATTTACCTTGTTTGTAGTATTTGGAGGTTTGTCATTACTTTGATGAAGCTCTGCAGCACAAAAATGTTACTGTTGCAATGTGTGGGTCTTGTATATAACACAGTGCAGTGTATTTCATTGATCCTGTAAATGTGGCTATTTATCTGTGATTCATTTGTGCTGTATGGTGCGCTGTTAACAGCCCTGCCTTATTTTCAGTAGAATAATATGAAGGAGCGAAGGAGAGTAATGTCAGCAGAATTATTTTCATCACTTAGCACTTGATTACCTTTCTAACAGACAAATTAACAGACTTCTGCTAAAGGGTGAGAACACTGACTCTGCCCTAGCATTTTCCATAATTTTTATTTCATTGTCATATGTTACACTCCACTATTAAAATAGTAAAATAGGTATATTTCTCTCTCTCTCTCTCTCTCTCTCTCTCTCTCTCTCTCTCTCTTTTGAAAAATCATTGCTTGTGGACTATTATTTAGCAAAAAACACTTTTTTTTTATTTCTGCTTATCAATTTTAACACCCTTTTGCAAAGTACGTGCTTGTTTTGGAGGGCCCTGCATATGAGGTTTACATAATTTGTCATTTATTTAACTGGCTTGCAAAACTCAGGACAAGGAATTAAAGGCCTGCCCTCAGCACAGAAATCAAATGAAAGAAAGCATCCAGTTTGTGGGTATTAGTTGGATACAAAGCTTGTATTGTATTGCTTTTATTACAGATCCCCTTTTTTTTACAAATGAAACTTAAATCCCACACAAAAGGAAATTTTGAGGATAAATGTTCCAGATAGAGATTTAAATCTGGAATACCCACAAACAGTCTTGATATCAGAATGAATAATGCTTTCTGTTGCCTCTATAGTAGCATTATGTTGTTAAATGTTTTTCCTGCCTTGACACTCCAAATTCAGCTCATGCCAAGCGTCATAATTACCTTACAATATGATTCAGTTGTGTTAGAGTGGAAAAGAAACAAAGTAATATGGTGCAGAGAGCGTCTAGGACTGGAGTTGACAATCATCTAGGCAAAATAGAGGCAAGTTATGCAGCTGCGCCAACCATGAAATATCAAAAGTTTATGACCTCATAAATTATAAGTAGATAGTTTGGTTTGGTTGGAAGCACTCCAATTTAGCAAGTTTGCTAAGAGCTTGACAGCTGAGTTTGCTGTCCAGTTTGTGCAGCACGCATACCCACTAACAAGCCACTACAATATTAGTGTCACTGCTGTGCTAAGGATGTCCACCAGTAGTCCTGTGGGGGTCCTAATCTTTGATGAATGGGGTAAACAAAAGCAAAACAAATGATGCGGATAAACAGATGAACAACAATCTGTGAATGTAAAATTTGAAAGTGCACCTATAATGGTAAGTGGAGTTGATAAAGTGGACAACATATACAAAGTAATGTGTACCTAAGCAAGAGACCAGTGAGTGTATACCAGGGGTTGGCTCTTTTACTCCCCTGTTGCGGCTCCACAGCAGAATTAGACTTTAAGGTAAAAATAAAATAATCTTCCTTTGCAGTAAAATAAAGTTCTGTTGATTGTTCTAATACAGTTGTAACACTAAATGATGGTAAACGCTGGAGTTAATATAGCCTATATATGCTAATTCACCAAACGTTAACTCTAAAGATCGGTGCGCAGATTGATGGTCACACAGCAATGCAGACAACAGTCTTATCTAGCTTGTAGCAAACGAAAAGGCGAAGAGAAAGATTCAAGACAAACATTGATAATTTAGAAACGAATGGATGTATTTACATGTATAAGCACTCTAGCTGGTTTCCTGATACATTTAATTTGCAGCAAGAAACTGTCAAACACTAAAAAGTTGCAAAGCTGAAGTCAGATTATTGTTTGAATTTTCCTGTCCCACCTTAAACTGTGCTGCAGTTACTTTCTCGTGCCTCAGGCAATATTTAAGGTGTAACAGGAAAATTCAAACAAGAAGCTGACTTTGTAAAAAAATGAAGATTGAGAGACATTTTACAAGGAACTGTTCTACTTTAAGGAAAAGTTTCCTGCTGGAGACTTGAGAAAAGCAGCTATAGCTAAGCTAAAGCTTAAAGCAGAGCAAAAGCAAGTTTGAGTTTTCGTTTACATTTTTTAGCTTATACTAGAACATTAGCACATACTGAGACATATTTACAGCCAAGATGTTAAATAGGATATAAAATGTTGTAGCTCCCAAAGTGGTTTCTCATCTGTTGCTGCTCATCTTTGTGTTAGACATCCTCTAGTTCTTCATCAGTGGTCACAGGATGCTACTGGCTGAATATTTTTGGTTAGTGGACTATTTTCTTTTACCAGTAACTAGAGATGCATTTCTGCAGCTTTCAAATACAAAGTACAAAGAAAATCCATTATGAGAAAATTGATATTCAGTTTTTCAGGACAAGACTCTTAACCTCCTTTAAATTTCATATAATTTATGTCTGTTAAAGAAGTTGGCAGTATTCACTAGAGTAATCATTTTGAAGGTATAAGTTGACTACTACCAGTAAGATTTTAAAATAATGTTTTTTTATATGTTTCTATCACCTGCTGACAGTCCTTTGATTTTCCATAAATCCTAAAAAATCTAAAAAAGATCAAATCTAAAAATCTAAGTCTTGTGTAAGTTATGTAAGATTAAGAATCATGTAAGAATTACATAGAAAATCTGTTTCATGCTGGTTTACACTTGTCTTACTACTTGCTGAGTTGCTGAGCAACATGGCTTGTCTAGAGAAGGACGCTCTGTCAGTGGAACAGATGTCATCATATGAAGGAGCAGCACCATGTTGCGATCTAATAAAGACCACAGTGGTCCTGTCATCGATGTGCCATGTTTAAGCTCATCATATTGCAATTATTGATACCTTTTGAAAATCGAACACATTATTCAGTGCAAAGATAAAGGCTTATAGCAATCACGATAAACTTTACGTATATAAACTAGATAAACTTTATATATTTAAGTGAGTTATTTCATGCACATTTTTTGCTCTTGCTGTGCTAAATCGTCAGTGGTTAATATACTTAGTCGTAAAAGTTCCTCATGTCGTTAAATAAAACAAGAGGAGTATTCAGCCTAAAGGAACTGGCGCTAATGTGGGGGAAATTGATTTTTGAAGACTGGGAAGGATAATGATAGCGGTCTAAAATAAGTCATAAATTAATCATGAATTCTTATCCAACTGTGACCATGGCTATGGGGAGAAGCTTCCAAATGGTGTTTAAAAAGTGATCGGTACTTTTCCTCTGCAGAAAAAAGGCCAAATTAAAGACTTCATGGCCTTTACCATCCACTTTCTGGAAACTCCAAATGACTCAAGAATTTCTCCTTCAATTTGAAG